TAAAACGTCTATCGATCTCCGTGGGTTCTTGGCCAGATAAAAAAAGAAATAGGATGGTTGCGGAGGTGAAGTTGCGATGGCTTGAAATCATGGGGCGTGGTTGCAAGAAAGGAAACAGTCAGGTGTGTTCTTTACCATGTATTTGGAAAAGCTTTTTATACTCTATCTAACAATGTCACGCGCGTCTACTTTCGTTATGTCGTTCCCGAGTTATGATCTCCAGAAGTCATCACCATCATTTTGTCCAAAGGCTTATGACTCAACCTAATATTGTGAATGTGAATGAATGATTATATTGCAACGCTCACTATTCTCCAGTTTCGTAACAGTGCTTTTCAGATCCAAGAAGAACCATTCCAATAGCAACCTTCGGGTCCCTTGGATTGGTGACATTTGTCTATGTCTTAACCTCTGGGACCCTCGCGTTAATGCTTCCATATAAAGAGGTACGTTCAACAACATTCCTTTTCTGTCGAATCTAAAAAATTAGACTCTGTTCAACATTTCATAATTCTTATTAGCTCGTACAAAAGCACACAACACGACACGCTACGTGCGGCGAGATTCAGAACTGGGCTTAACACTTGTACTCACATGTGTGGTGTCTTATGTTGAAGTAGCTGGCAGCTGTGCGAGAAGTGACTCCACCAAAACTTAATTCAATGGCAGCTCAGCCAGTGCAATTGACCATATGAAAAAAGATTCACTCTTCAAAAAAGGATTGATAGGAATCAGAGACGCTCTATTACCTTTTGTTGAAACCCATAAATTGGGCCTGCACATATGAATTTTCTGAACATCTACTACTGGTACCAACGTATAATGCTTAGATCAATCCTGATGCTGCATTTTCCGACGCCTTCAGTGTCAAGGGTGCCACCGTGTCCAGATACATTATCACAGTAGGAGCACTTGCTGGAATGTTCAACAACTTGGTCAGTTATTGAACTTATACTTTTATCGATAAACAAATAAACAATGCTGCCGACAAGGGATGAAAGCCAAACTGCACCTCGTTAGGTCATCCTTCATCTCCCATTTTGCTTGTGTCTGGTCTGTGGAGAATATTTTCAGGAGTTTCCCTTTACACAAAAGCTTGTAAGATCGACAGGGTTTTGGAGGAATGGTTTGTATTCCCGTTTAGAGCCACGAAGCGAACCTAGGAGTGATGGAAGGCTTGCTTAGGATGGGCTACCTCCACCGAACCGTTTTTTATATAGATAGGGGGAGCCAGCCGATGTCATGTCAGTGTTTTTAGACAAGACGACAACTAGGCGACTTCCAGACGAGCCTGGTACCAATAAGCTGATCCTGGAGGGATCGAAGGCTTGGTTGGCCTGGGTAGGTATCAAACCAGGAATTGATCCCAGGACTAAGCACGGTAGCGACGTCACTTGGCTCTGCCCTACCTCGACCCGAGTATAGTTGCAAATTTTGCCAATCTACCGTAAGTATTTTCTGGAGATAACATCAAGGTATGCTCTTACGTCTATTACAATACCCCATCTTCTATACCTATTGGACTTATTGCAACTAGACTTATCCAGCGGTAAGAGTATAATTAACTGACGCTTACACTCTGATGTCAAGGTGATCTCCATTGTTTCCAGTTAGAACTGACTTCGCACTTTCATACTCCTATGTAATAGCAAATAATAAGTATACTGATGTTCAGCTGAGTGGATTGTTCTCACTTCCACGATATGTATATGCTATGGCCGACGATGGGCTTTTATTCGTCTTCCTTGCAACCATCAGTCGATTCACTAAGGTAACGAAAATGATGTCAAAGGATATATTCAGTACAGTGTAGTTTTTCAGGTACCACTGAATGCGATTTTCGTCTTTACCATTTTGAATGCAGCTATTGCTTTGATATTCGACTTGGAGACGCTTGTCGAGTTCCTTTCTATCGGTACTCTTTCGGCCTATTCGATGGTCTCGGTTTGTGTTCTGATCCTTAGGCACCAGGCTGCTCCGATCGACGGCGACCCAGAAAGGCTCGATACAGGTAGGCTACTTCCATCCTAACCCTACCACCCTTCCACAGAAAAAGGGAAAGCTTACTATCTCTCGAACGTCGACCATTACGTCAGAACGCTAACTCGCTCATCTCATTATGAGATACACTATCCCTAGATCGCGTGCTCAGAGCTCTTGTAACAGAATTCTCTGAATTCCACAGCTGCCCCTAGAAATACGAAGAAATTATGCGAATGGTGGTGTATAATATATATTTGAGGCGGTAGAATCAAAAGATGGGTACCTTTCCGAAACTTCTGGGAAAGCCTCCCTAATGGCAGATCTATTGTCATTGCTGTGGCATCTCTGATATTTGGCTATTTTTGGCTCGCCTTCACAATTCGCTCAGGTACGTTTTCGTGATTCGTAAAGTTTACATTCAACTTGAAATCGCTACCTGACCAGAGGCTTGATGATTTCTCCATCTGGTTAGAATTAAGGAATTTTAGAACCGAATCAGAGATAGCAGAATTGCCAGATGCCTGCATAGAGGTTTTAACAATCGCTTTGAAAATAACTGAAAGCAATGGGAGATTTTCAAAGTCCATCCCACTGTGCACGGTCTTCCCCTCTTCATCCGTCAACAGTCTGCTCTGCTTTAAGTCGCCAAGAAATTGACAGATTATCTTCATTTCATATCAAATCGAAGGACAGTTGGTTTGAAGGGTACCCATGTTTCACACTGACTGAGAACTCCTAAATGGCGTTGAAAACCGAGTCTATTATATATATTGACCTCCTCAAGTTCCTAAAAAGGTGGATTCTGGCTCACAGAGGGGACACGAATTAGTGGAGGTGGACTAGTTTACACGTAGAATAGTCTCCCTCTAGAATGGCTGATAACGAACATCACTAAAAATTCCTCTCTGCAACTGCCATGTACGGCTATCTCTAAACCTCGGCATAGTGTAAACATTGGTTTTCTCTGCTTGAACTCGGACGAGGTTGATAAATTCCTTTATTTTGGCTTACGTTTCGGCGTGGACCGCCTTCTTCAGAGCCGTAGATCAGTCCGAACCTCGCGACCACTTAGAAGCCAGCAGCAGTCCAGTAAGCTGTTCGGACTGGATGTGATTTGCAGTAATTGAGAGGGTAGATGAGTGTGAATGGTTCTTGATCGTTGATGTCATTGACAAGTGTAATGCGTCTGCTAAGATAGAGAAGTAGAAACAACACTATGTATTGCTACAAGAAGAGCAACAAAGGAAGAAGAAAAAGAATGAGAAAACCGAGTCAAAAACGAGCGTAAAAACATACACAAATTCAAACCGGATCTTTCACATTGCAGGTGTCATGAACTCAATACCTGGTTACATTTCTCTCGGATTGAGCATTCTTTTCACTATTTTGGCATTTATCTTCATTTGTGGACATGAGCAGAATTCGCTCGAGCTATATTACCGGGTGAGTTCCAAGAGCGAACTTCAATTTGAACGTGACTTAGACGTGACATACTTCTACAGGTGCCCTTTGTTCCATTTATTCCGAGCTTAGGACTACTTATCAACTGCTTCATGATGGCGTTTCTTGAATATCTAACGTGGATCCGTTTCTTCATATGGATGTTAATAGGCAAGTTTTCAAAAATTTTTCTCAACTGCTTCACCTTCAGTTCGGAATATAGCTTTACACATGAAAAGGATGTTGATTGTATTACTAAGAACCAAAGCATTTCAAAGATAGAAACGGGTTGCTTGTAAGGGCGAAGACCTGCAGATCAGTCTGCTATCGCGCCGGCTACGGCTGCCCTGCCCAAGCTTCCGCTCCATCGGCGGAAGGCTTGCAGCGGTCGGCGTGAACTGTGCCTGAACTTACGCTCTGTTAGCCCACGCCGTTTCCTGAGAAATGTTGCCTCCGTAACATTTCCAAGGGTAAGATCCGTCCACATAGCATGCTGAGCACAGCATCCTAAGCGCGTGGGACTCACAGACAAACCATGCCCTATGCTCCACATACGAGTACCTCGCGCATGATCAAGATTCAACAGGCGTGCCATTACTAACACTTTACCCAACATCTAACACACGAGAAGGTATCTACGTCACGAACGCCGCTAACCAGGGAAGGATACTTGGTCGCAGTGGCCATCTAAGATGGGATGTATACCCCCGTAGGTGGTTTCGAACGCTGATTTCGAAGGCTGCTTTCATAATCCCTCGGCGTGCGTGCCGGCGTGCCGGCGGACTATGAACGTGCCAGCCGAGGCAGTGCTAGGGGGGAGTAACGAGGCAGACTCGGTCGATGCGGTCGCGTCGCGTCCAAACTCCTTCGAAGGGTGGTGAAAGAAAGAGGGACAAAATCAGAAACCATTTTCACAAGCCTCTGGTTGTTTGGTTTTTCATCTTGTTCTTCTTTGTTTTCAGCCCTTCGACCGACCGTCTGCCTCCATGCTCCCTCTAGCTCCTCTGCCTCGGCTGGACGCCGGCACGCCGGCGGACCATGAAAGCAGCCAAATCTGTGTTTTAAATCTGCTAAACGATTCCGGGAACAAAGTTACGGGACCAATTCTTCCCTGTATTATACCACTGCACTAAATGGATCACTCAACCGAGCGAAACCCTTGCTTGGGCAACGGTGGCCTAGCGGATAGTGTGGTGGTATTCCTAAAGAACAGTTAGCTCCTTAGATGGCCAAAATTGAGCCCAAAGGAACGTTTTGCAAGCGTTTAGGATACGCTTTATGGAAAAGCAAAACAAGCGCATGCATCGATGAAACGAACCTTGATGTCATGCCTACCGGTCCACCACATCACCCCCTAGGGCACCATTGCACATACAAGTTTGCTCGGCTGTGATCTGTGATCCGTTTCGTGCAGTGATATAACACATGGAGGCTTTGGTTCCGTAACTTTGTTCCCAGAGTCGTTTAGCAGACTTGGGAACACGGATTTGAGATTAGCGTTCGAAATCACCCACGAGAGTATACATCTCATCTTGAATGGCCACTGCGACCAAGTATCCTTCCCTTGTTAGATAAAAATCAACAAACATAAACGACTAATGACCGGAACGAGTAATTAGAAAATATACTGTGATAAAGTGGACATGAAGTACAATAAAGTCCTGTCCATGACCTACCCCTTTTTTCGGAATACGCCTTCGTTTTCGTCTTTCATTCAAAATCTCAGTGGCGTTTTGAATGCGTATGTGGCCTAGTCAATGAACTCTGGTGGCCAGTAGATGTACGAGTCAGCTCTTCTATGCTCCCAAACTTGTCAAGTGGTAGCTCACCAGCCTCGAAAATGAGATGCTGGTTGACTAGAGCGAATGTAGACAAGTGGATCGACTCCGCAGCATGCGTGTGTTAGAGTGCGCCTATTGAGACCACACCGTCTTGGCCTGAATAAATATGTATAAATAAACACATATCTATATGATGAACTCACAGAAGGGTACAGTACCTGCTCAAGCCCGAAGGTCATACGTGATTACAACGGTAGTCTCCAGAGTTGGCTGACTGCGATGTGAAATTATCAAGTGAGGACAGAAGTTCGAATTGGCTGGAGCGTTGCTGAAGGCGTTGTCAAACGACGCTAGCGTCGTCGGCGAACTATAATCACGTGGCGTCCTCCCTTTCCCTGACAAGTACGGTGCCTTCTCGGTGGGAGTACCGCATGCTTCCAACCAGCATCCTTTAATGTCGGCCAAACTAAGTATTCGCTCATACTGCCATTGCTCTAAAAATGCTTACCGTAAGCGCCATAATTTTAAGAATTATCAAATGCAACCTTTTCAGGACTAGTGATATACTTCTTCTATGGCGTATGGCACAGCAAAGAAGGCAAGAAATTGAGTGTAGTTACTGCTGGGTCCAGTCTTCAAACAATACCCAAGCAAGCAAATGGTGAAAACTAGTGAACGAGTAGGCAATGTAATTCGTAAAAACTCCACCTACTCGAATATAAACGCTATTTGATCACTAACATAAGGGTCGAAAATGATACCCATTGATTCGCTTTATACTTGATCTAGTCTTCTCAGATACGTACTTAGCTCGGGTAAGCAGCATTTTAGTTGTACTAATAGACAACCTGAGCTCACTTTATTTGCCTGAATTTCATGTATAACTTTTGTTGTTATGCTGTATGTGCTGTACAATTGATATAAAGAACTTTTGATATTTTTCAACAGATGTCGTTTGATCGGCTCCATGAAGCGCCAAACGGTTCCGGTTGACTGCTAATACCGAAAAGGCAGAGAAGCAAAATATCGATCAACACGTACGCCCTCTGCCTTTCGCTCTTCGCTGAGTATGAAGGCGACCAGCCATTCAGCTTGTCCGCACTATGCTTCGCTGTGGGATACCAAAAACATTTCTGTTTTGACATACACCTAGCAAGTTCCAAGATGTTCGTTTATAAAAGAAGAGATCAAATGGTACCAAGACCTAAGATGCCAGCCAAGTGGGTGTGGGCATCCCAGGATAACGCATGCAATACAAAATTGAGGTGCTTTACCGCAACACATTTTCACAGAGCCTCTTCTTATTTAATTTTTATAACATTTGAATTGAATTACGTAAAAATGTGACATCCATTGTGCAAAAAAAAAAAAAAACGCAGCGCTCAGTTTAAACAGCGCGAATACCATTAACCGTAAACATACAAACTGTACAATGTAACAAAAACAGCCTACAACAAGATCAACATCTCAGAACAACCGAATACCCGTTTTTAAAGAAATGAGGTCCTAACTAGGTTCGAGGGGTTACCCATGCAGTTCCTGTGCCGATTTCCCCCTCTGCTTAGGCATCTTTTTATTGGTAGCATCTTCAAGTTCACGTCCTTTGTAGTAATGAGGAGCAACTTCCAACAACCAGGAGCTTTCTATTTGAGAGATCTGTAATGTATGGATATGAAAATGTATAATTACAAAAAAAAAAAAACTTCAACGTACTTCTCTCATAAATTCCTTGCTTGTGAATACGAGTTCATAGTAGACAACCCATCGAGGTAACTCCTCAAATAAACAGGAATTGGGATGGACATGCACGGTGTGTTTGTGCTTCACTGTTTTGTAATGCCCTGCAATTCGAAATCATTTCAAAACAAAAGAGAAAGAGCAGTCTCTTACGAATAGTTCGAAGCGAACAGAAGCGAATGGAACTTGTTAAAGAAAAAAAAATGGTGCAAAAGGAGCATTCAGAAGCTAAAAGCCAAGACGAGAACTGGATCACCCAGCTACCTATATAATGCGGTCTGATGTACCAGCCCGAAACACGACTACACTCTATCTCAAATGTATGTGCCCTTCAGCCGTGGCAGAACAATATGGGGCGAAACTACGACATAACAAAGAAAAAAGTGAAGATTCCATGCAACCGACCAGAATTATCCAATTTGGAACAGTTGTAAAAGTATCCTGCAGTTATGGCTTTTCGTATAGCAATGGTGCATGAACTGGACTTCTAAAACCAGATCACTGAGCATTAACGATAGATTTGCTAAAGTGTCGTTACAAAACGTTTCCTGATACCAACAGGTTCAATTTCGACTCGTTCGAGTAGTCCCTCAAGTTGATCGCGAATATCCCTCGCTTTCTTCATTGTACGATGTTGCACAAAATTCTCCATGCACCTGAGGAAGAAAAGATTCCCATTGGCTATTCATAAAAAAAAAATCATAGGAAAAGCTGAGGACACCCTTGAAGCAGAATCCCTAGAAATAAACAAAAAGCTACAGAAAAGGCTAAAAATACCCCCAACAGCTCAACTCACTTATACGATTGCTTCCGCCCCTTTGCCCCGTTGTTCCCCTCGCTTGCTCTATTTTTGTACACACCGTGAGGGAGCAAAAGAAAGCGCTAATGTTCCTAACATCGATATTGAATGCCAAAGCAACCGAATTTAATGCACCTTGAGGGGGAAATCGATTGTTAACGACAAAGGTAAAGATAGTGAGTAAGGCGAAAAGCAACACTGCTTACCATTGCTGCGAGTAGTTTGTCTCCTTCCACTTGTTATAGACATTCATAAGGGTAATATGATCACCAGCAGGACTCCAGAATGCTTTTCTTGCTGAGTCCGCATGTATAATCATAGCTTTTGGTCTGAAACTTCTTCACATAAAAACTTGGTCAACGCCCGTGACAAGAGCATGCAGCTTTTGTTTACTAACAAACCACAACTGATTATTTGTTTATGAACTCCATATTTTGCTCACTATAAAATTGTAATACGATGATCGTCAACATTATCAGTAAGAGGCATATAAAGTAAAGGGAAACAAGAGCTAAATAACTTACTTACCGATAGAACACGGCGGCATTACAAGATAGCATGGCACAAATTGTAAGGATTTCTTCTGAACATCCGTACCTCAAAGAAACCGAATTACTAAATTGTGTAGCATATGATGTAACGGTAAAGGTCTCACTTTTCGCTAGCAATTATCATTTTGCTCATACATGGATCACAAGGAAACTCAGCCATGCGTCGCCCTAGTTTGGTTAGTTCTCCTCGGTGATTAAGAGCTCCAAGAGCATACAGTTGTTCCAAAGCAATTACTAGAGTCTCCTAGAATAAAAAAAAACTCATATCGCAATAAAAGATTGTCAACTGGAGCATATTAGGGCATAAAAACCAACTTGAGGTGGCGGATCGAGAAAATCGAAATGTACGAGATCATGGATTCCCAGAGATTTCAACATCAACACCACATTACCCAAATTTGTTCGTTGAATCTGAAAAGGAGTCGTTATAAAGTAGCGAACCGTATAAGCGTTTTTTGAAACATACTTCAGGTATTGGTTGGTCTTCGAGTTCATGTTTGTATGCCCATGCTGTGTAGAGGCGGAAACACTTCCCTGGTCCTGTTCGCCCTGCTCGTCCAGCTCTCTGATTGGCTGACGCCTGAAATGTGTCACTGAAACCTTAGGGAAGATGGAGAACCTCAGCGAAAATATGAAACCTTTGAGATTGTGACCACATGCAAGTGTTCAACTCCACTCCTTGCATCGAAGGAATTCTGTTTAGAGAAGCCCGGATCGATGACATAACAAATACCATCAATTGTAACAGAGGTTTCTGCGATGTTTGTGGCAAGGATTACCTGGAAAAAGCTGAAGCTTTCGAAAAGCAATCGAAACAATACACATGAGTACTCACATACCTTTCTAGCATTGGGCGGTGTCGGTTCGAAAATCTTTGCCTGCAGGTCAGATGGTAAATTTGCGTAAATGGGAAGTGGAATTAACTCCTTGATTTTGCTTCCCAAGGCCTTAGTTTTCTCCATGAGAGCTTCCTGTACTGACTCGATTTCCTCCTGACCTGGAAAGCATTACCTTCTATGTAAAAAAAAATAGACTCGTAAAGACTGTAAAAAAATAGAAAATAGACTGTAAAGAGAGATAGAAAATAGAATAGATAATAGAAGAGAATAAGGAACTCGTTACAACTCCGGAACCTTGGGGAAAACCGTTAATTGAAACTCATTGGACTAGAAATAAGAGCATGATAACGACACTATCATGCATCTAACTGGTAAGAGGCAATCTTATTGCCCTATCGCTATACAGCAAGAATGTGATGCACGAATAAGCTCCCTTCGAAATACGGTGGAAGAATGATCCTCCACCGTGCCAAGCAGAAAAGTTCCCTCACCCGTTAGAAACACGAGGATGTCACCAGGTAGTGGCTGGGTGAGGTGAATTTGCATGACTGTAACCATAACGGCATCCATGTAATCGGCTTCCGGAGCTTGCGTATAGTAGATGTCAACAGGGAATCTAGAGTTTAAGCCATCACATACTGGCTTCACCAAAGTTTAATGCGCAATTGCTAGTATCAAATTCGTATAAACCTTCTTCCAGGTATTCGGAAAATTGGAGCGTCATCGAAAAATGTCGAAAACTTTTCGGCATCGAGGGTAGCGGAAGAAATCAAGAGTTTCAAGTCCTGTAAGGCATGCTCGTGACAACATTTGCAAAACTCGCGATATTATCGGAATTTACCTTTCTAAACCTAGCTATATCCTTCACAAGACCGAAAAGTATATCAGTATGTAAAGTCCTTTCGTGAGCTTCATCGATCATCATTACACTAAAAGTGATTCAAAATCATGCTGAGAAAAATACGAAACGTATCATACTATTGGAACTACTAAACGTACTATTGGAAAAACGAAGAAGTTGAGATAGAGAACCAAAATCGCAAGAAAAAGTATATTAAAACTTCAAAGCATACCAGTAACTTGCAAGGTCCGGCTCGTTCAAAAATTCACGTAATAACATTCCATCTGTCATGTATTTCAAAACAGTTTTCTCTGAAGTGCAGTCTTCAAATCGGATACTGTAACCAACCTAAAACTGTTCATAAAACGAAACGTATTCAGGGAAAAGCAAGATGTGAAGCATACCTGCATTCCTAATTTACAGCCCACTTCTTCAGCTACTCTCGCTGCTACGGACATCGCTGCCACCCGACGTGGTTGAGTGCAACCGATTTTCTTCCCGTCTTTGCAGAAACCCTAGAGTAACAATTGAAATTTGATTAAACAAGACAGAAGAGCTGTGTACTTCTCTAACTTACGGCTTCATAAAGATATTGCGGCAGCTGCGTGGTCTTCCCAGAACCAGTCTCTCCCTCTATGATGAGAATCTAGGAACGGAGTCTTTTTAGAGTGGAACTTTTGAATATCCAACGGAAGTTGACAATAGAACATTTTCTTGAGTTGTACCTGATGTTCTTTGACAGCTTCAATGAACTGCTCTCGAAACGCATACACTGGAAGCGACTTTCGGGTCTCCTCTATCGTCATCTTTCTCTTCTGGGCAGCAGTAATTTCTTCATCCTGAAGTCACACATACAAATGAAAGCGGATTGTAAGGAAAAAGGAACAAACTAGAACGTAGACGGTTACCTTTTCGTCTAAAGTACCAGGCATTTGAAGAGCTTGAATGAAATCAATCTTGTCGTCCAGCAACAACTCAAACTCCTCTTGTTTCTGAATAGAAGCCCATAGTTATATAATATCAGTGATCAAGACAGTGTCAACCAACCGATTTCGCATCCTTTGCACCATAATGCAACATACTCGCCAGAAGCTGTTCATGCTCCCACTTGGCGCCATCACCTGCAAGCTTAGTGAAATACTGTAACAAGGTAATGCGCGTGTAGCATAGATATATCCACTTATTTCATGCTATCAAAAAGAATGAAGTCATTCAACACTTCGCTTGAGCAAAGCTACTAAACGACTGTTACAAATAGCTGAATGGAGGAATACATACCTCCATGTCGGACTTCTTCCGTTTCCTCGACGTACTCTGTAGGAATTGACTTGACTTTTGCATCAGGAACGTAATACCTTTTCGTTTTCATGATATCAGCGGCTTTCTCGTGTTGTTCGGCGTACTCCAATACCTTCTTGCGGTATTCCATATCTTTCCTTTCTCGTTCGGTCAGGCTAAATAGTAAAGTACTCAATGAGAAAAATCGCACCAAATTATTTGAGGAACGTACTCTTCATTGGCAAATAGTACTTCATCGTCATGTACGACCTTTCGCAACTCATCGAGCTTGTCCTCTTTTCTCTTGGCAAGATATTGTCGACGTGACTCTTCACGTAATTTATCAATAGAATACGCCTCCTTGTCCTGCAAAACTCTAGAATCAAAGAGCAGAGAGTGAATGGAAGACTTTTGCCAATAGCCGGACTCATGCAAACAAGCTACCTTTCATGCATCTGGTATTGAACAAAAGAAAGTCAAAAAATATGGTAATGAGAGAAATAAAAGAAGCAAACGCTGAAGAACGGGATACCTTGTTGTCCGGTATCTTCCTTTTCTGTTCGAGAACGTTACGAGTTTTCTCTTTTTCTCTTTTCCGTATCCTAGCTGCCAGCTCATCTCTTTCTTTGATGTCACGATCGAGTTCTCCCTCAATGGCTTCAAAATCGGAGTCGCTGGATGCTTCCTTTCTCTTTTCCTGTTTAACCTCCGTCTTTTTCGATGACTGCGGAACCTAGAATAATTCATGAACAAGGTTACACGATGCGCTGCTTTTAATACAACGAACTATTCTATGACACCGGAGGGAGCAAGACGATGGGAAACTATATGAATCAATAACACAGTCGAAAATAAAGAAAAGGACAGACAAATGACATTTCCCGAGAGGCTTGAAAAGCAGAGAGGAATATGTGAGAAAGAACGACTTTGAACATGTTTCAATACCTCATCGTCACTACTACTTTCACGTCGTTTTCGCTGATGATGGGAAGACTTCTTCGTGTAAACCGGTTCTTCTTCTTCCTCTAAAACTGTCATGGTGTTGCTCAATCGCACCAACTCCCGCTCGCGAAGTTCGGCAGCAGAAGGTCCTTTACGTACTGTTTGTTTTGGAGCTGAAAATCAAGAGAATCTTGTAACGATTTCCTTCTAAAGGAAGGTTAGTTTATGTAAATAAGAAAGGAATGGGAAAACGGCATTCTCATCCCTGCAGAAAGCTTTACTAGCGAAACGTAAACATGATAGGAAATCTCTGTAGTGTATACCCGCTCTTGGAAGCTTATTCATAAGCTGTGAGGCGAACCGTCGTACACTGTCGTTAATCTCCAGAGCATCATTGTCTTTAAGTTTGCCAATGAAATCTTCTGTGTTACTACTTTTCCGGGCGAGGGCGAGGACATATTGACAAATTGTTCGATCACTGATACCAACAATTGCATGAAGTTCATCACTGACCCATTGCTCCACTGACATCCTGAATGTACTGAGTAAAGGCAACACACCAGAGGCTAATACTAACACAAAGAAGAAGGGAACAACGAAATTACAGGCAAGGAGAAAGCATTAGGAACCGTGAAGCTATTGAAAAATGCTCGTTGGTACTGGTAACCTGTTTGGAGGCAACTCAATAACATTGAGAAGGAAAAAAGGATTCAATGACAAATGTGTTTTGTGGTCAAAATATCAAATTCGATGAAAAATAAGTCAATCGAGTTGTACAACCCTCGCAAACCTTGAGCCTTCTTAACACATCTTCCGCCATGCCGTTTGCATTTCATTTCAAGATGATGCAGTGCCAAGCGCGCGCTCTCCCGTACACAGTCCGGGGATCGAATCCTGGCATGATGCGCGCCCAAGCCAAGCAACCTTCCTATCCTTCCAGGATCAACCAATTTGTGCAGGGCTTGTCTGGGAAGATAAAGGTACTGAGCTAGATATCGGAAGCTATTCGCTATTGGAAGCTTGAAGCGTGGGCCATGCATTCGAACTCCCCATGAATGGCAGTCGAACTCGTGAGACAATCGTTTAACGTTATGCAGGCCAGTTCCGAAAGACTTAAGGCATGGGATGAACACCACTCTTTTACTTCCCTGTTTGCGTCTTGAAAGTACCTACACTCATTTATATAGTTATTCAAGAGCTTCGACCCTCTACGCTCAGATCTAAAGGCCAATGATAAGCGGCATACCATTGCATCTACAGTTCATTCGTGGAGCACCTTTGGCAAACTGCTCGATGAGCTAAACCTGATAGGAAGTAGCACCGGATAAGCCCAAACCCAAAGCGCACTTGCCGAAAGAATGTTCACTGTCACAGAAAGTATAGCGCGAAGGTGAAAAACCCAGATGACAAAGTCTATTCCTTCAAAGGCGTAAGCAAACCGTAGCCCCTGCCAAGGGTAGGCTGCCTTCAAGCAAACTCGTAAAAAGTTGCCAAGTGACTAGGTGGAATAAAAAATCCAAATCAAATATAAAAAATGCAAGCAAGTCTTCCAGAGAATACTTTTTGCGAACACTTTTAATTCGAAATCTATGTCAGACGCTCAATTGACGTCTGTTCTGCAATCACACGCAGTATCCCGTGATTGTCCGCAAGACTAATTAAACAGAACTGGACACCTGACGTGATTTGCCGGTGCTGACAATATTTCTAGTATTTCTTAATGCATCGTGATTCCATGATATCGCCACCAGATTGAGGATTGCCGATGGAGGCTGAGCTATACTTTTCCGCTTATGATGCTCTACACCAGGTAAGACGATAATAATTGGCCTCTCTGAAAAAACTTCAATTTATGCCAAAGAAATAGTCTTAGTTTTTGATTTTGTCCGACTTTTGTAAAAGTTTTTTTTTGAAGTAGTAGCACCATCGGTTTTTCAGGGCAATTCTACTGTTCGACGACTTGAACTTCGTCTTCAAAATGTGTCCAGTATTGGAAAGATTGTATGGTCTTCATTTGATTTCATGTGTGGACCTGAGATGAAGTTTGTATGGGAGGTATAGTACTTACTACTTTTCAACTTTTCCTAGACACTTGTCTAGGAACCTTGTACAGGTCACATCGTCGTCATCGGTGTCACCTGTAAATCTCAGTGGAGAGGAAGGTTCGGTGAACGATGCCGAGAGCCTTGATTCTTCTATGTCCACACAATCTGCTCAGTATGAGGATATTGATGATCCATTAGAGGTGAACACAAATCGTATTGGGGGTTGCTTCTAGCTAGATACCAGCATGTGGCCCGAACTTTCTCTACCATTCTGATGGTGATCATCATTCCAGACTGATCTTACGTGTGCTGGAGTGTTGGATGACACTTTCCTAGAAGATTCTTTGTACCATGATTATCGCATATCTAGTCGAAATGCCGGTATTGCTTACCGTGAATTGCGGTATCTTGATGAATTCATGGTGGATAGCCATTATAGCAAGGCCGATTCCAATTGCACGGTGACGGAATCTGGCATACAGGTTCATTTCATTGCTGTAGCTTTCATCCTATCCTTATATGATTTCCTTTCATTCAGGAAAGTACGACCGCTTCGAGGTCAACTTCTGCATCCACTACGACAGCTATGCTGCAAAGTGCGGAGAATTTGATGGATTCAGGAGACGTAAGTCAGAATTTTGTTGTGGAAATGTGAGCATATAAAATTTGCAAGCTCTTACATTTTTAGGCCAGTAGTGAAGTAACTGTTGGACCTATCGATCCCATGGTAGGAACTCCTATGGAGCTCATGAATATTTCTACTTTACTTTCATCTGATAACCACAGGCAATCCGACGACACTACTTCGCGAACGTACGTTTAAATAAGGCTTTATCCTCTATGCTGCGAACATTAACAAATATGATTGAACGAGTGGGCTAGCCGGTTTTCGAATACTGAGTCCCTGTTCAAGTCATCGTAAAAGTCTAGCAGCAACTTTTGTGAGCTCTTCAGGCTTAACATATTTCTCTTTAATCGAGCCTGCTCACTATTTTTTAGATTACTATGCTGTTATTGAACTGGTTGACCTCATTGCTCATTCAAAATTCTTTCCTTGCCTATGTGTTTTAGTCTGTCATCATAGTCGATGACGTACATATGTACGGTCGGTAAGGCTATTGTGAAAACATGGCTTCAGCCTTTGGATATTCACTCTATAGTAGGCTTTGAACTCCGTTATTCTATCTCAGCTTATCACAGAGGAAATAGTAGCATATATACACTTGATTTTTCTTGGGCATGAAGTGGTCATGTTTCAGGCTTCGGGGGAGCAGAAATAATTCTGAAAGCTCCAACGAAGACACTGATAAGACCAGTTCCTCTTCGTTCACGAAAATATCTCAGGATGACGATGAACGAGATGAAAAATGTGCTCAGGATACAGATGTCGTAGGCAATGAGAAAGTAGCGAATGGTACTAATATATTGATACATGTTTTTTGATCAATTGGCTCTAATCCTTTCTTCTTCAGCTCTTACCACTTCTTGTGTGGACTCCGGTATAGGTGGAACAATTTCAACCCACAGCGAAATGAGTGCTTTTTGCCTTTCGCCGTCAACTGAATTACTTCCCATTCCTCCTAAATCGTTTCCTGTACATCTCATGAGTTACAGGTAATCTCGAGTTTTTTTGTGGAATAAAATGAATCATAAACTCTCTTCCGAAACCCAAAAATCTCTTAACACCTTCCCCATTTTCGTACAAAAGCAGCCAAAATTTAATTTTAATTTTTTTTGGAGATTAGTTTTACACTCTTCGTCTTTGTAGGCAGCCACTTTCAAATGCATCAACACCGGGCTCATTTGATGACGATGTCGTGTCATTTCTTGACTTGCCGATTGCTCCTCGTGAAGATACTGTCACTGATGAAGTATTTGTATCTAAATTCGTTCTGGCTGAACAAGTCTTCAGGTAAGATGACTCCGCGGTCCTCTCCTTTTGGCCCTTTGCTAACCTCTGCTTTTGCAGTACACAATTACCTTCTAATCCTCTCATGCACAAAATAACCGTGGTACCCTCTCGAAATCTATTGATCGGATCCTTCATATTCTCTGTCGTTGCACGAGATGGGAACAAAACTATACATGCGATTTCTTTTTTGATGAGTTGTTGCAAGTAAGTGGCTCTAATGGCAACCTTTTTGCTTCTTTCGACTTATGCATATCTTTTCAAGGCAGGAATGGTATCTGGAGCGACAGCCATTTCTCGAGTCGGCCATTCTTGACGCTGTCCCTAAAATTAAGGCAGCCATATTAGTGGTAGGCATTTCCCGAATACTCCGGATAGAGAATTCCAAGAATTTTGTTACTTCACAGGAAGATTGGGATGACGTTGTGGTGCGCATCAATGCTGAGCTTACGCGATTGATGCATTTGATGACTGTATTGGACAGGCATCCCCTCGTATCTGAATCACGTCCGCTCCTGGTTTGTTTGCTTAATGCTTCGTTTATTTTAGGCCATTGATGGGTGATTAATTGCACAACAACCACCATCCTTTTCTTTTTCAAGCACCATTTTTTTTCTCGTTCTTCTCATCTCTTTACGATTTTCAAAGCTGTTTTGAACAATTTCTCTTCTTTTCATTTGAACGTTTTTAAGTAGCGAATCCGTGAACGGCTTCTTTTTGTTCAGTATCTGTCTTTTACGTCTTCAGATTTCTATTCAGAACCTTTTTTACTGAGTGTTTTACACCGGCATGAGCTTGCCGTTTTTTGCCTTTGGTTCGAGAATATGAGACAATTTCAAACAGAATCCGAAAAGAGAGTAGTTCCCTCCTTTATCTCCGATTTCGCAGTTTTCATTTTCTTAGTTCAAAGCAGTATCTGAGTTGAATTTAATGAGTGGTGTACTAATGACCGTATTAAACGCTACTGCATCGTTAAATAAGTTGTCTTCCAGATCAAAAACACCCTACTAACTGGAAAAAGATGTCATCACGACAAGGTACTGTGCAAGGCTATATCTGGTGTGCTTCAGAGTCAAGGTTACTGTGTCATAATCGGTTCTGATACCCTCTATGTTTCAAAGGTAAAGTTTTTCCTTGCTCCCATCAAGTTGTTCTGATTTTCATTTGTTAATGATACTAATTGCAGTTACTAAATACACTTGCTGCATTCATACCGGAGGAAGTGCGTTTCTGTTGTTTACGTATGTATCGTCACAAGTTTAGCCCCTACGTCCGGTTGCAAGCAGTACGTCGGGTGGGTCTATATATCAAGAATAAGTGTGCGCTCAGCACTAGGGACGCCCTAGTATGTTGTCATTAATAATTTGTGGGTATTTTATGAACCCTTGTTACCATGTGAAGAACTTCGTAGTTCTTGGAAGCATTTCGAGAGATTAACGAAAAGATTGTTGAAGCATTGATTTTGTCCCAATTGTACCAACTTCTTAAAGGGCATATCAGGGCATGGCCTGGGCGATGTAAGTCTGAAATCACCACGTCACGATTTTCTGCTTTTTCAGTGTGAGTTGCCATATGTGCTGCAATGTGGTGCGCTGTCAAGCTGGCCTATATGTGTTGTCGACGTCGATCGTGCAACGGTTTGCATGTCTCCCCCTTATAGTCGCCATCGAATTCTCAAGCAAAGAGCTGACGCACAGAGGGTCAACATTATTCTCGACAGCTCTTTTAAGTGCAAACCTGTCACTCTGTAAGTTCTCAGTTTTGGTTTCCTTTTTTATTAGTACTTAGTGTTGCTCTGTTTTATTTCGCATTGCTCAACACTTTGCATTGCCTTCAAGAAGTGACGAAACCAAAATTTGGGTTAAGCTTTTAGTTTTGGAGATAGTGTCCTTATTTGGTAAGCAGAGTTATATTCACTACTGTACTTTGATCGATTTCGATGTCGCAAAAAGGACTTAATGGTTTTACAAATCGATCCCTTTTGTGGAACTTTATCAACTAGTTCTAGGAATGTAGACAGGTTAATAGCAATCTTGGGTATTAGCTAGCGTCTTCGTCATGGGGGTGAACTGTTATTTGCATGGGAATATTTGCCGAAAGCACTGTGCGATAGATGGCTAACGGTTGACGGCGAGTTAAAAAGGTGTATGATCATCTCCGTTGGATTATACTGAAGCCCTAGTGTGCGGCATCAGATCTAGAACTAGTCTCCATTACATTTATGGTTATTTGGGATATTTTGTTCGGTGTTCGTTTTTACTGGTGCTGAACTGTTCGAATGTGCGTGATCAGTGTGTTTTCTCTTTCCCAAAAGTCATTGAATTTCTTTTCCTTTGTTGTCTAAATACAGGTTTCCCCAACCTTCACGTTCTAACTCTCGTGTGAAGGAACTAAAGGGGCTCATAATAAAGTACTTGTGGAAGACTGAAAGGAGTAGAGGTATTTTGTAGTGCTTGATCATGGTACTTCAGAGAAATGACCTCCTGTCGTGTTCTCGAATGTGTGAAGACGTTTCTGCGACGCATTGATTTGCTTCCTTTGGAGGTATGTTTTCACCAATGGTCAGGTCATTGAATTTTTTTCTCCAATGTTAACATTCCTGTTTTTTATTGTTTGTTTTTCTTCAACTGACCAGATTTATTTGGCTAAGCATGGATTTTGACGTTATAATCTTAATGTGGTTATTTGTCTTGACCTCTGTAAGAAAAGTTATTTACATTATAAGCTTGTGGTCTTCTTCCTAATACACTATATAGTAAGGAGCTCTAGATGGTAGTTGTGATGAATCTTGCCTTCGTCTCTAGGTTGGTGGGATTGTAGCCTGAACCTGTTTGATGGACTAGCCTTAGACAACTTTCCTGCACGATGACCGGTTGTTTGTAGAAGCTTGTGTAACATCTGATGTAATCTATCACAGCAAACATGTCATCGTATTTGTTTTTCTTTTCTAGTGGGTTTTTTGCTACCAGAACACTCCTGGGCTGCAAAAGCTGAACAGCCTGGTGCGATAGCGAGGGCAGTGGAGGAGTGGGAGAAGCATCTTGTGCTGGAGTGACTGTAATGATCAAGTTGTCGCCCTCTCGAGAGTTAAATGTTTATGGCTGAACTATAGTTCGCTCCTTCGAGTATACGGTTTAATATAACTGACATTGTTTGGAGCTGTTAAGACTTTTGCAATCGGACAGTATTATTTTGCATGTCTTTGTCATAAAAACAATCCAGTAGAATTGGCACTATCTTTTTGGTCAATTTCGCTATTTGCACGAATTCGCAATGTCCTACTAATGCAATTTAGGAGTCTGCTCGAATGGGTCTGGTGAAACAGTTAATGTTATATGTAGAAAATATGGCTCGGGCGTTGATTCTATATGTACAGCATGCCAGGTAGGAAATCTTATCATAATTGCCAATCAATAGCACCGTAATACCAATGTTTTCTTTCAGTGAGCCATTACCTTCTGAAAAAGCTTCGGCTACGAAGAGCCCTCGGTTCTCGTTAAGTGAGTGTCGACGAGCTTTAGACCTGCAGTCAGACAGCTGGTTTCACGCCGTTCTCGCAAGGGCGGAGCTTATAATGCCTGACATCGCTGAATTCATCTATAGCTCGGGATGAACGTGGAGTTTTTTGGCACTCAAAAAAAAACATCATGGTCTCTATTCTTTGTAATTAGTTCACTGACTTCCTTTTGTTGATTTTTCGGCATACTTGTCCATAGAGGTCTTTACAGCTAGTTACTCGCCCACATCTTTAGTGTGCCTTTGTATTGTTCCGTTTTGTTGAGCTATAGAAATCAGTAGTTTATAATCAAATGTTCACCGGTTCCCATATCCTATTATAGGCCCTTTTGACCCTCCTTAGCTATTTACAACAACATTGGTAGAACAATTACTAACTGAGGGTTTGGTTTAGTAGCCAGATGTGAATTCGGTCGCCCCTTGTGATCTAGCTCATCAGTTTTCTCCGCGTATGTGTATTTCTGCAAGAGTTTCAGTTGTGATATATAGACAATCTCATCGTTACAGTATAAGTCAGTAGAGTTCTCGTTTAGTTATAGTATAATTTCTGTAATACTTGACCAAAGGCCTTTTCTTTTCGCTTGTTGCATTCCTGCATGTAATCGTACGGCTTTGTTTTTTGTATGTACAGGTAATTATGATTTTTAAGGAAACATTCACTAGCTGGTCACTTTTTAGACGTAGATTTGATTGTGATCTTGATGACATTCACTGTTTTGTCATTAAAGCATTGATATTTTTTTATAGTTTTGTAAGTTTTTTATAGTTGCAGTATGCTGCCACGTAGTGTTGCAAAAAGTATTGCTGCTCGAAGATTGAGATGATTCTGCCCCGGCAACTCCCATACAAATGTTCGAATTTGTTTTTGTTGGCCATTTGGCGTAGCTAGTCGACGTCTAAATGCCAGTGGTTGTAGTGCAGATGGATTGGCTCTGGTCGACTGTTCCGGTGGGTACTCTGACTGAACAGGCAGTACCAAACGTAAGATGGGGTATTTCTCATGCTACTGGGTAGCAATTATCCTTGGTAGTTATATTTTGTCTTTCAATACAGATTTTTCTCATTTCCGGATTCCAAAGCTATTTTTTAAGCCTCTGGAAACGTTCCAGTTCCTTAAGAGTCGTCTGGTCCAACATTTGACCAGTCATGGTTTTCGTAGGGTTAGTGTAAACGCCGAAGTAAATGAGGTCGTTGGCCCTCACCGATCCAACTTGCCGTCTCCCAATGTCGGTGGCTCATCCTTCTAACCAAAATCAACCGTCGGCTTGTACTAAATTTTAGGTTCTCGGAAGGGATTGATCAGTGTCATTGGATCTGAGGATCTCCTCTGATGCCTGTGGATACTCCCTTCTAAAAATTATCCAACAAAATTCACATTTATTCACTGAAACATATCATATCAATGTTCCTACACCTACTTGAAGGAGGTAGCTGCAAGATAAACTGTACCGTTCATACTTTAATGACTCTGCTTAACACACAGAAACTGCTCGGAAATAATCGGAATATCTCTGAACACATCTCAACACTTTTGCCATTATATGGAATCGGTAAATAGCACTGTACAGATGGAGGATGATTGAAAATAATTAAACGCTGGACATTTTTTTTCCTGAGCTCAAGTAGCATTGCTGAAGTAGGAGTTATCCTTGCGAAGAAGCCAATACGTACAGCACTCTCCTTTTCCCTAAAAATGATGGATTCAATGTAAGAATATGCGAATAGCAGAAATTTCAAGATTGCTGCTCTCAGAAGTCCCCTGTTATGTAGTACGGCTGAAAAGTGTCAAGGTGATGCACTTCTCGAATGAACTGCTTTGGTTTGGAAATTTGTTTTTCCATTGCAAATCGGGAGTGTTTTTTCGAAAGCTTCGTGAGCGGTATATCTACAGTAACCTCCAGCCGTTCATTTCGTCGTACTCCTACCGTATCCCCTAGCCTCTCTGAGGAGGTGGTAGTATTTAACTTTGAGCAATGGGATGGAAGATAAGAGCAAAGTCTTCCAACGTTGATCAATCCCTTCTAGAGATGCGCCCAGCATTCGACTTCCACTCTGAGTCGCAGTGGTAGTTTGAATGCGCGTTTGGCGCCTATACAATGACTCGCATTGATCAGCTGATGTACGACTCAGTGTTTTTACCCTCCCAGACGAGTCTGATACCAATTAAACGACCCTGGAGGAATAGAGGGCTCAGGTGAAGGCGGATACCGATCCGAGATTCGACCCTTCGTGTGTGATGCCGCAGCACCTCTTCCAACCTAAGCCATGACGTATTAAAAATATTTTAACCTACTTTGACATCGATTTCACCGCGTTTCGATGTGACAAATTCCGGATAGTCATTGTCGAGAAGTTTTTTGGACTGTGCTGATAGCTGTATTCTTCCTGGCTCGCCACTTGATTCCATTCTAGAGGCCATGTTAACCTGAACAAGTATTATTCAGCATCGACATCACGGGTACTAAATAGTTAAAGCCTTTAGGAGGAAATAAGATTCTGAAAAAAATATTTCTAAAGGTCAGTCATAGCCTACCGTGTCACCGAAGAGACAGTATCGTGGGGAATTCAATCCGACGACAGCAGCTGCTACTTGACCGCTATGGAATCCAACGCGAATTACTAATTGTTCAGATTTACGGTGTGGTATACGGTAGGTCTCGAGGAACTGAAAATTTTAAGTATCGCATGTGTCGGTAAACTTGCTACTTATTTTGTTACCGTCATGATATCAAGTGCGATTTCTGCGATGTTGTTGATGTGACGTTTTCCGTTTTCTTCGGGAATCCCGGAAACGACCATATAGGCATCTCCGATAGTCTCAACCTGAAAAAGGTCACTGTATCGCTTCGAATAAACAGTTGGTGTCACTGGTGGCAATGAGGACCTTTGAAGCCTTGGCTGCAAATAGTCACTGGCAGCATCGTTATCACCTAAAGGCGCTGTTTTGACAATCCCAGGTTTGAAGAGTTGGATCCCGTTCAAAAATTGTGCTTTTCGTATCTGGGGGTCGGCTACAACTAGGCTGGCGATAAATCTTGGGAAATAAGCCATTGATGTTTTATTTTTTGGCTCTAACATTACTCAAAGCTCCCATACTGCCCAACGTTGACTCTTTCGATTCCTCTGGTGATGGAATGACAAGATGTGGTTCATTCCAGGAAGGAGACCTCAGGCTTTTCTCAACCATAACCGGCTTTTATAAGCATTTTTGTAATTGAGTGAACTAACCTTATAGCCGTCGTGCTTGTTGATGATCTCGTCGAATCCAGAATAGACACTGTTCAGCAAGGTTACCACCTAAGTAGATTCGAGTATTAGACCTACATCTGTGGAAGGAGAGCCGATCTGATTAAGCACCTCAATCGGAGTTGATGAGCCGCATAGCCTAGTGAATCCGACCACATCAGTAAACATAACAGTTGCTGAGCTGTACATTTTCGGGGGTACCGGGCGTCCATTTTTGAGTTCGTTTGCTACGTACCTGACAAAATCATTCATTCTGTTGTTTCCATGTTATCGAATCGATTGGGAGGAATTTTCAAGATCAGCTTGCTACTGTGTTACCTCAAAAAATTCACTACTGAAGTGTAGTTTTTACGTAAAGGATCCTATGCTCAGACCGAGGTATGAGGGCGAAAACATGGCAATGGACGGGGAATGGGAAAGGCACTGAGATACTAGAATGGGCGCAAAGCTGAAAAGAATCATAGCAGCGAAAAGACCAAAAAGTGAATCCCATCTATTTTTTTTAACGCTAAGCCCTCATTACTACAGAAGATACAACACGGATAAAAGCTTAGTTGACTTTTGGGGATTGAGTTCACCGGTGAATTAGAATTCCGCTCCTTTTGCAGATTTCAAGATATGGGGATACGATTTACGGTTTGTCTCATGAGTGAGCTGCTCGCTCTACCCTTCTGAATGTTCGGAAAGAATTGGCTAAATTATAAAAATTCTGAGTTAGTACTTGGGTAAGAGCTGTGAAAGCAGTTTGTCAGCTCGAATAGTCGCCTCTTCGAGCATTCCCGTCCTTTCGTTTACAAGTTTCTCCAGATTGTTGGCGTATTCCTCCATCATTCGTGTCATAGAATCCACCAGACTTCCTTTTCTGAAAAAAACCTCTTGTTGATGTTGTTACAAGCTCTTTAATGACAACAATGTTAACTAGAGCTCAAACACAATCGTAAACATCTCTGACGTATCACTTTGCTCTTTTCTGCAAGTTTATTAAATCGGAAACATTTATAGCAATCCAATGAGTTGAATGGACTTATTCCGAAAAAAGTAAATCGCTTTGTATACTGTCGCCTTTTTTGTTTTCGGAACCCAATAAAACTGACTTTTTAACAGTTACCGCTTGGGTTTCAGTATAAACTAATGAGGGAGGCTGTAGCTCAGTGGCTAGAGTGATTTCTCAGCTCAATTACATTTCTCATCTTTTCCGGATTAATTTGCTGGTATAGAGCTAATCTGTGGGGATAATAACGATAAGAAGATTGCTAGATTGTCGTATAAGTCGAATTTGCAGAGCTGTGTCACTTTACTATTACTAACTAGACTTACTTATGTTGCCTAAGAACACAGGCTAAACGGAAATTGAAATGCTCGATTGGCTGGCTCCCCTTCAGTATAGTAACTCGAAATACTTTACCTAATTGACTGTTTTGTTTTTGTTTACTATCCTGGATTGAGGCAGAGGTGGAGTAGTGGTAAGTGGCGCACTATATCACACGCACGGTCAGGGTTTCGAATCCCGGATCGATGCCCGCCTAGGCCAATNCTCTGGGGTCGGTGAGTTGGTACCAGACTTGTCTGGGAGGATAAAAGCACTGACTTGCACATCGGCTGGCCACCGCAAGTTATTGTATAGGCCACATACGCACTAATCACGCCACTACGATTCTGGATGGAAGTCGAGTGCGGGGGCACATCCCTCAGACGGGTTGATTAACGCCAAAAACTTTATCCTCTTATCCTTAACTGCTGTCGATTTTAATTTTTTTTTCGGTTTTCAGAGGGAACATTAGGTAATTATGAGCATCTGCTGAAACTTGAGAAAGTTTCCAGAACTTACGTCTTCAAGATGGCATCGGCGGATAATCGAACACGTCGAATCGATGGTCGGGCATCAGGGGTGTCATGCCAACAATCCTTCAATAAGTGAGTTACATTGTATTCCATAAAAAACTTTTTTTTCTCAGTTAGTGTACCTGAAGAAGGGCTTGTAGATCGGGATGGAGTTGCTTGTCTTTTTGAACTGACGGTCGAGAAATCTTCTCACCAGCACTTGCTTTAGTTACCAGCTCTGGAATGCCATGTATGAAATCTGAGGAGTAGGCGAAGATTTCTAAGTTCGTTCTTACCACTAATATCGGTTTTGTCACTGTATGGATAATTTCTGAAGAGGATCTCATACATCACCATTCCAAAAGCGTAAATATCAGCAGACCGTCTTTTCTCTAACGACTGAAATAGTTCGATCATAGAATCCCATCAAGAAACCAGAACTGCACTTTCCACTTTCTCGAATTCCACTAAATCCCCTTAGCTGCGGTGTTCCTGTGTGGGTACTTACTTCGGGAAACCGACTTTTTTGACGCGCCCGGTAAATAATTCGTAGAGTTCACTACAGATAGACTGTATTTACTGCTCTAGAGAGTGTCGGTGGCTGTACTAGTAGGATCATTTTCCTAATCCTCATTCGCTCGAAGACCTCTCAGTCAAAAGTTGAGCGTGAAAGTTACCAAGTAATGTTGTACCAACTAATAATTGGTAGTTCATCTCGCATGTATTTGGAAACATTCACGAAGCCTCAAGTACCTAAGCAGAAGGTTGATCTTTTATATGAGTATTATTACGCCCTGGTGATCGTTATGTTAATTTTCTGAATAAGGAAAATGGAAAATGGAGTAAAAATGAACCTGTGATACCCATGTCTGATCTACCCGACGAGACTTATTCTGTTCGTCTGAAAGCCGTATTTCTGGTGCCACATAGAGAATAGCTGAAACGAAACTATTTTGGCGAGTTATTTGACTCCAGAGTGGTCCAGAGAAGGTTTATCTACTTTTTGGACTCATCCACCCACGAGTTCGAGTAATTCAATTTTCGTGTGGGTGCGCCCCGCATACGACTTCCATTCAGAATTGCAATGGTTTATTGAATGCGTATGTGGCCTATACGATCGCTGCTGGCCAGCCGACGTACAGATCAGTGTTTTTATCCTGACAGAAAGTCTTGCTACAATAAACCGACCCAGGAGGGAAGCGAGGCTTGGTTGGCATGGGGGAAAACGATCCGGTATTTGGTCCCTGGAGCATGTGTATGCTGTAATGCTCCACATGCCCTCTCACCCACTTGGTATGGCACCGTCCACTATATCAGGTTAACAAGGAGCTTGACGGATCGTCTCACTCCTTTCTCACTTTCTTTTTGTTAATTCCTTCCGAAAAAAAGGAAAGACTCGCCTCTTTCTGCTATAAAAACATGTTTCTTGAAATTTCTGCCTGATAGCATCGCTACTTTGAAATGGATGAGTACGGTATTCGAAAGGTGATCTTCATGTTCAGATCTCCTCTCTTATCCATGTTTTCCAAGCAATTCCAAATGTTCACAACACGTTCGTGCCGTGTAGGATCACCCTAATGGTCAAAGCTTTTGGCAATCTGTCCCTTCCTTACCTGTTTTCTGGCCTCCTTCCGTTTTTTCTTCACCATCCTTCATTATTTCATCGTTAATACTGCCATGTTTCTTCCATCTGCATACAGCATCACTTACTCCTAAAGTTGAGATGAATCAAATCTTTGATAGAAGATTATTGTAGCTTTGCAATCCTGTTGTGTAGCACCATTTTTCTACCGCAGGGATTTTTCTGCTGTTATTCTGATCATCCCCTAAGATCCCAGCCATCGATCACTTCAATGTAAATCTCATTTCCAGCCCATAACACTGAAGCTCCTTAGCTGATAGTTCTTTTCGAACATACCGTAATCAGTCAGCTTCACTTGCCAGTTACGGTCGATGAGTGTTGACCATGTTGTCAGGGCTCCATGAAAGCCAATAGTTGATAAGTGTAGGTATTCCAAGCCCTAAAAGTCCTCCAATTTTGAAGCCAAAAAATAAAAATGGTCACATTGCTTGGATAACGAACCAGAGTAATATCTTTCACAAAAGCTCCATGGAATTTATCGTCCAAGACAAATTGCTCATTGTAGATTACATCCTGAGACATGAAAGTTTATTTCTGGTACCATTAGAGAGCCTAGTTGCACAAATGGCGCGCAACAGAACCTTACACCTCTAAAATCACCTTACCTGTAATGTTCCTCGGGAGCAAAACTTCCACAAGATCAACAATTCCGACTTTTCATTGAAGGCGATGCCAAGGAAAGGATTCAAATTATCGTGGACGGCCTGCTTCATCTGAATTAAATCAAAAATAAATAATCTTCTCTTGCTAGACATTCTGTTTTCCCACCCTAAATCACTTCTATTTTTAAAATTTTCCTTTCATTCAGGGAGCCTTTCACATACATATTCGCTAGAAAATGATTATATGGTCTTTATACTCCTTAAACAGCAGAGCCAACCGAGAAGTCTTTGTTATTTACCGTAAAAACAGGCACCAGGAGCCGTCGCCATTCAAGGAGGCGGGGCTTCCTGTGTGGGCGTTCTTGGCGTATGGCGAATCTGGTTGGTTGGCTATCAGGCCTTTCTTTTACATCTCAGTAGCACAATTCACTTTGCCATTAGGGCGCCCTTTTAAGGGGCCATGGAGGTTGCCGTGAATTCTAATCCTACATCATTGCCAGTTTTTTTCTCATTGTTGTAATTTATTTTGCCGATATTAATATTTAGGCGAGTGTATGGACAGGCTAGTATAGGCGGTAAACCGTTTGTAGGATAGGCATGCTCATGTGCTGCTGACATCTACTGCCGGTGGGCTTTAACCTGGAGAATTCCGAGGAGCTTCTTCGTATTTTGTCTCACCTTTGTCAGTAGCGTAAGGTCGGCACGGTTGAATTTGATTGGTCGTCTCTGCTCGTACATGTGATATGTGGCATGAGTGTTTACTCCAATGATGGCATGATGTTGTAGAAGCGACATGTTGGCGTTCGACAGCTTTGTCCTCTGTGAATTCAATGAAAGCTGAAATCGAAAGGCTATTATAAGCTTTCAAGGGATGAGGTATGCTTTAGCTGTCGTTCAAGCGATTGTGGATAGTCCCAACACTGCCTGCCAATAGACTGATGAAAAGCTTACCATCGATTTTACTTGCTCCTCATCGACGATTTGCATATCATCTCGGAATATCCTCCAAGACATGCGACTCAGTGCTTTTGTCTCACTGAAATGAATATCATAAAATTAGCGGAAAACTGGACTTCTTTGTGGATAGGCCTGTAGTACTGGGCTCGCTTTTTGATGGTTCTGGTGCAACTAGAATAGAGCAGAATAATTTTTTACTCTTACCTTTTTGAAGCAGTCAAAAAGGCAGTGAAACGATAGCCTGCGGGCTTTTTTCAATTTTTTTTTGTTCCAAGTGAATCCAATTTTTAGAACGTACCAGTATCGTCTCAGTGCCCATGCTCCAGCAATTGTCAACAGGAAGCAGAGAGTAGCTGAAGCTGCCACGATAATCAATGTGTAGTCGCATTTCTCTCCTCTGAAAAGATCCCATGTTATGGTGATGATTGGGGATTCCCTAGGTCTTTTTTGCATGCTCCTATCTTTGTAGTTCGTAGTTAAGTAGTCTGAAGGTTGTCTATAGTAGATGTGCTCGGCTTTTTCCTCTGAGTTTCTCAACCACTAACTACGGTTTTTAATAGCTGTACTATGTGCAACACCATTCTTGAAACCCTAAGGATGCCTTCTTTTTCTACCAGTACAACCATGAATTGAAATCTATGGGCCTAGCACTTCATACACGATAGGAAAATCTGCTAGGCTCTCAACATAGCGCTTGGCGTTGACCAGAGAGTAGGTTCTGAGCCTCTTCTCATAAGTCTGACACAGCTTGATCACGTTATGTGCACCAGGAGTTTATCGGGTGTTTGTCCTCTGTATAGAAAAGTTTGCATGACAGACCTGAATCCACAGACAGGCTCGTCGGTAGGCAGATTACCATCAATCGATGGCCAAAAAGATGACGAAACCTCGGTGACATTCTGAAACGGTTGTTTGCCATTTTTGAATGTTTCACATGCTTCGTTCTATCTGTCAAAGATCGGCTTCAGACGCTACATAA